AAGCATCATTTAAGATATCCACTGGTCCCTGCACCTGCCCTCAACGGATGCAGCCACAGCCTCTTCCTCGAGCCTTCAGCCAGCCCTGCTCTGCTGCCACTGCATTCCTCACGGGCCCTGGGGTATTTTTTCTCCCATTTCAAAAGTCTCATCCTTCCTCAGACATCCCTGCAGTGCTGGCGTGGCTGATATTCCTCTCCTTGAATCCTATTTACTGCAGCACCAGCCAGGGATGACGGCTCTGGCCGTGGCTGGGACAGGGCTGAAGGAGCAGGGAGGATGCAGGATCTCGTGTCAAGGGCTCTGTGTGTGACATTTGCAAGGACAGGGCTATTTTAGGCTCCACCATCAGCTACAGGCAGGATTCTTGCAGAAGTCCCATCAAGGTGGTCATATTTGCTGTTTATTTACATCGTTTCAAGTGAACCAGGGGGGCTCCTACACTTGGTATTTCTGGGAAATGAGCAGCCCGACCTGTATCACCTCAGAAAGGGCTGGAATTTTCCTARAACAGGAGGACAGAGTGCTGCTTGCTCCTCCAGAGCTTAGACAGCAACGCAGGAGCWCCAACAGCTAAATCTGCAGGGCACCTCCACACAAACATGTGAGTCTCTGCTTGTATTTCCAAGATAACCCTCAGTYATGGGATGCCCAGGGCTGTGACCATGTGGACAATCCCCAAGAGGAAGGATCCAGGATGCTGCATGTCAAAAGGGTGTTTTCTGTCGTGATGCAGCTTCCCAGGTCTCAGGGCTGTGTCACAGCAGCCCCTGTGTCCCTGTGACACAGCCCCAAAGCCACCCCATGCACGCTGGAGTTACACACCTTTGCCAGCTGCCTCTTTCCATTAAAACTTTGGGGTTTGCTGAAAACTATTATTTAATGTAATATTTTTCATGGTGTTTTTTTTAAGCAGTGAGCTGTGATTCTTCTGTCCTGTCTATCCCATGAGCCAGGGTATTGTCCTCAGCAGGTTTCTGTGCTGCTGTTGTCTCTGCCTTGTTCTCAGGCTCCTCTGTTCTTCTCTGTTAGCTCGAGCAATGTGATGCCATGGTGAGAGCATCACCAGGTGCCTCACTGCTGCTGGGGGGTTTCCCTGGCATCCTTCCATCACGTTTACCTGCTTTCTAAAGCAGTGAATTTGTGTTTGTGCAACAGGTGAGCAGGATCTGAAAATGATCAGGATACTGCAGGCTGTGCACCCAGGGGTTTTTATCGACAATGAAATCGTGGAGCCCAACCCACAGCACGTGGCAGCTTACAAAGGTAAGGCTACACTGCTGCCTGGCTTAGAGCAAGGACCATCCACTGAAACGATGAGTTTTCCTGCTRTTCTGTGAAATTCATGGTTTTCTTYTACTTTTTGAAACAGAGCTGGTGAGYCAAGCTCCAGACCTGCAGAATGTTTCTTTTATTTGGCACCAGCTCACTTCCTTGGAGTACGAGCAGCAGGTGAAAGAGAAAGGCACACATAAGAAATTCGACTTCATCCACATGATCCAGGTGATGGACATTGCTTTAGTRCAGGACTATTGGCTTTAACTACTCCCTTCAGTTCTTCTGGGTGCTTGAATTTAGCACCTGAATAACTCCTGCAGCAATAACTCCTGCAGCAGCTCTACAAACACCAGCCCTGTGAGCTGTCCCTAAACGTGCATGCAGAATCAGGAAAGGCTGGGAAGCAACTGGGACAGAATTTAAAACACCTCTAAAGGAAGGGTTGATGCCTCTGCACTGTGGAGGAGGAATAATGGCTGTGTGCCACTGTCTCCTCTAGATGCTGTACCGTGTGGAGGATATTCCCAATACTATCAAGTTTTTCCACAGCTGCCTCGACCATCGTGGCAGACTCCTGATCATAATTTTATCAGGTAAGGGAGACCTTGCATTTTTCTGCTTCATTGCTGGAGTTTTGAAAAGCTTTGAATTTTGAGAGCCACAAATGTTTATCTGGGGATGTCAGTAGCGCTTGTTCTATACTAAATAACTAAAAAAAAAAAAAAAAAAAAAGACAGATTTCACATGGAACATGCAATCTTGGGCTTATCTTTGGACTCCATGTCTGATGGGCTCACTTAGGCACAGTCTTAGTGCTCAATTCCCTGCTTATGAAATCGATGTTCGTGAATGAGGGTCAATCCCTCCTCATGGTGAAATCAGCACTGTAAAAACACAACCTGAGCTCTGTGTGGACCCATCTTTGGGGCTCTTACATCTGCACAGCAATGGCCCAGACCTCAGCAGGGCAACAGACGCTGCCAAGAGCTGCAGGCTTGATGCAGGATGGGAAAAAATAGAGGTCCTTGCAACATGATGGAACTTATTAAAAAAATAGAATGTTTTATCCCTTGGGCCATTTATTAATCCCTGGCTCATGGTGTGGTGGATAAAGCACAAATTCCCGTGTTCCCCATTAAAACTGCCTCTCACACTGCCTGTAGGCTGTTTCCCCTGCTATTTGGGGCTGTTTTTCCAGGTTTCTTCAATGTGCAGTTATAATTGAGGTTTGATGCGTGGACACACCTGCACTGCTTTGGCCAAGGGACAGGCACAGATGTTCAGGCTCAGCATATTGTGTGTGCCACTCCTTCTGGGTAAATTCGGTGCTGGAGACCATTTCCTAGGAATTTYCTTTAAACAGGAGAGTTTTGAAGCGGGGGCTGAGAGAGACCAGAGGTGCAGGTACTCACAAGCAGACTCAAGGAAGGGGAAAGCTCAGCGAGGGAGCTCTTCCATCTGTCATGGTTTGAATTAATCCAATGGGAGCAAAACACTCCCAAGTTCCAGCAAACCTCCCCCCCTCTCTTTTCCCCACCCAGGTCCTAGAGACAAACTTTTCCACAGAGAGGAAAGTGAAAAGAAAAGGGAAAAAACCTTATTTATTTAAAATTATAAAAACACAAAGAAAAACCTGTGGAATCAGCTGTTAGATCCCAAAGCCTTTCTCTTCCCTCATGGGAGTAGCTTCCCCTCCGGGGCCCCCAGAGGGGTTGGACAGAGTCTCTCTCTCCGGTGGTTCACTGAAGGATCTTTCTTGCCTGTCGTGCCACGAGAATCCTCCAATTCTCAGATGACAAAGAAAAAAAAAATCGAGGAAAAACAAGTCCAAAGAAAGGGAGAAAAAGGAGCAGTCCCAGAGAGCAGGCGGCTTCTTTTCCACCGGTGATCCCGAGAGAGCCTCCCGAAAGAAAAAAAAACAAACGTGTGTGTCTTGTCCCTTTCCCTCCCATTGTCCTTGAAGGGAGGAACATCACCAAACAAACCAGAGCAGTCTCGACTAATGKRKAGTYMCAGAAGGGTTGTTTAACTTTCCTCTAACATAAGCAGATGATAGGAATACAATACTCAGCTAACCTAGGACACCATCTCATTCCATAGTCGCTTTAGCTGGTGTGTCACTACCTGGGCTTTGCCCCAGTAACCCTCCCGTGTCCCGGCAGACAGCAGCGGCTGGGCCAGCCTGTGGAAGAAGCACCGGGACTGCCTGCCCGCCACCGACAGCGGCCACTACATCACCTGCAGCGGCATCACGGACGCGCTGCACGGGCTGGGGCTGCAGCACCGCGTCTACGAGTTCCCGTCGGGATGGGACATCACCGAGTGCTTCGTCGAGGGGGACGCGGTGGGCGGCCGCATGATGGATTTCCTGACGGGSACAAAAAACTTCCTGGGCACGGCCCCGGCGGCGCTGCGGCGGCGGCTGCAGGAGGCTCTGTGCCAGCCCGAGTGCAGCAGCACCAGGGACGGCAGGGTCATCTTCAGCAACAACCTCAGCATGATCGTGGTGGAGTCCTAAAGCTCGGGCTGGGGTGAGCTGGGCATGGGAAAGGGCGGTGGGGACAGGAGGTGACCCGCAGGATCTCGGGGGACTCAGCTGAACCTCCCCCTGCCACGCTGGGCTGAGCTCCGTGTYCAAGGTTTCACCCTGGCTGCTCAGCCCATCCCTAGGAAAGCATTTTCCAGAGCTGCATCTCACTAAAAGCCTACCTGGACTGGTATATTTTAACAGTAAGCATCCCATCCATGCTTTCACAGGACACTTTCCCGTGTAGCCAGCATCGCGGGCGTGTCTGTGCGATCTTTGCAGCTGGGAGGAGGTGGCAGCCCCTGTTCTGGCTGTTTTCRGACTCACTGCTCCCCTGTGTGCCAGGACAAAACCAGCACGATGTCCCTCCCTTGCTGCTTTGCACCCAGGTATCGTCGCCGCACAGTGAGTTGCTCTGCACTAGGCTATTTCACACGGTTTTATCAGCGTAGGCATTCACTGCCCCGAGGCTCTCAGCATCCTGCAATATAGACGTGTCT